TATAATAATATGGTTATGAAAATATTTTATATATGTCAATTTGATAGATATAAAAATATAGTTGTAACATTTCTTCACTTAAATCAGTTCTAACTCAATTTTTTTTTCATAATATTAGGACACTTGAAAATGCAAGATAGAGTAATATCTGTCATATTAACAACTTTCATACAAAACAAAATATCTCTATTTTTGAGGTTGTGGTTATTTCTTTCATAAACTAGAAAAAAATTATATAAAATGTTAAATATCCCATATTGATACATCATATTGTATTATTTACTTTTGTAATTTTTTAAAGACAAAGAAATTATGGATGATGTATTCTATAAATAGTTGAGATTTATCCTCGAAAGGTGTGAGACTATTCAATTTAATTATTTATTAATTTTGTTGCATCTTTTCTTTCATGTTAATGTTAACTAAAAATAATAACAGAATGACATTTATTTTCTTTGATAAATTACAGGAAAGCTAAAAATCGTACAGAAGTGAAATCATTATTTGATCTTTCTATTAAAGAATTTTGATGTTCTAAGGTGTTATTATGTGAATTGAAAAGTTGCTTAAAGTAGTATGATACTAGGTTGTAGAGTTGGTTTATATATGGATGATATATGATATAAATTGGTTCTTGATTCATATGCATGCTTGGTAATGATATTGATGTGTATGAGAATGTAGTGCAAGTTTTGTGTATGACTTATTATTTTGAGTATATTGTGTGTGATGTGGAAATCGAGTTGTGGACTGAGGTGTGATGTCTTGGCACAAATGCATGCATGGCATGATGTTGAGCATGACCTGCTACAGTAGTGGCGTGGACATGACATAATGTTGGTTGTATGATGCGTGTGATAACGAGTACATATGTCGGTGTGACACAACGTTGATCGAGTAATGCGACAATGGTGGCGTGAGCATGACATAGTGCTGATTGTGTGATGGTGGTGTATATGTATGATTAAGATTTGATGATGAAATGACTTATTATCGGTAGAATTTGACATGTATGAACTTGATGAAATTATAATTGTATAATGAGTTGTAATGGAAATTATGTTGTGGCGTTTCTTTGTGTGTTTTACATATAGATGTTTTCTTTTCTCACCGTACAATTTGTGGATGTTTTAGGTGAGGAAGATCTGGCTATGAGTGACATCCAGAATGTCAATAGTTGAGTTGTGGGTATGCTATGATGTTGTGACATCAGAGCAGAGGATTTATAGGACATGGATTTTTATATGTATTTGGAGTTATACTTATTCTTTTGAAAATAATTTATAAACTCTCATGTTTTATTTTCAACTATTTTGAATATTGAAAAATATTTATGAAGGTTTCATGTGGACCCTTTTATCAATGTTGAAAATTTTATTTCTTTATTTATTTATATTATTACAATATATGTGTTGAGGGTAGTAAGGGTGTCACATGAATAAATAGAGATTGATTGGGAGAGAATTAATTTAAATATTACAAACAAGACTAGAAAGTTGTTATTAAATTTATAGATAAAACTCTAGAGTTATGACTTATTGTTTGTGATCCCCCAAAGATGAAATTCATAAATTAATAAGTATTTTCACCATTATACTTATGAAATTGTTAACAATCCTATGGTTCTAAGAAGATAACAATATTTATCTTAAGAAAAATCCAAATTGATCATGAGAATTTTATTCTAAAAATAAAGCATATGTGCACAAAAGAAAATTAAATAATTAACTCAATTAGAAATTTTGAAAATAGTTTCACCATGCCAATTTTGCAATAATTCAATTATTTTAAGGTTTCATTACTTAAAAAAGTTTAATCATGCAACTTTCAATTAACTAAGACAATACTTAAAAACATTAAAATAATATGACAATTTAACAAGAAGAAATTCAATTTACCCACAAGTTACTCACATTTAATTTCATGCATAAACACATATACAATGGATAAAATTGCTTTATAACATGCAATTAAAATTTCAAATCACTCAGTTTACACATATCAATCAAAATTTTCACAAACTATCACAACAGGTTCTCTGTCGATTTTCCATAGGAACCCACAAGAATCTCAGATCATATATTTACAACCAAAAACATACAATTGAACATACATTCAAACAATTCATATCATTTGAAACGTCTATGAAGAACAAGAGACAAAACACAAACACATTTTGGAAAAAAAAAAACATAGAGAGGCATACAACAAACATAGGATAAGGGTCAATCCCACTACCGAATTTACAAATCCACACCTAGAATGAGGTTTCTCACTGTCTCCTTATCTTGTTAAACAACAAAAAAGATGGATGACATGATTATGGGTGGTTTCCTTCTTATTATTGATCTTTGAGTGTAAAAAGAATAGCGCATACGTAAAATAGAAAAATGCGTATCAAAACTTTCCTTTTAAAAATTTAACCTTCCCTTAACTCTCTTATAGTTAAAACACCTAACCTTAATTACTAATTCTCTTCCCTATTAATTAATTAAAATAAAATATTTAATTAAATCCTTTAATAAAACACCTTATATTATAATTCAAAGTATATCAAATAATTAAATAAATATTAAACAACTCTTATTAATAAAATAAAAATTTCAAAGTTATTAATAAAATACTTATATTATATTTTATAAAAAATGGGGTGTTACATATCCCATCATCAAAATTCAAAAATTGATTATCAATCGATAAAATCACAGATTAAAAGCCTAAAATCACTCTATTAGGTCATAAGTTACATAAATTCAAATGTTCATTTCGTCTCCTCATACAAACACCAAAATGCATTCTTTTAGGATTCTCACAGAAACTCATGGCAACATAAGATTCACAATTATCAAATCAAATACCAAATTAAATATATATACATAACAATAACATCAAATAGAACACCAAAGAATCACAAAGAATATGAAGACACATTTTTGGAAAAATTCCTCACATACAAAAAAAACAACAGGGACAAAATTGTGGGTCAATCATAATACCTAACATACATCTCACACCTAGAATGAGATCCTTACCTCGATGAAAGCTAGACGAAGGGTGCGAATCTCCAAAATAATCTCTAACAATCTCTGATTAATTTAAAATACTAATGTATTTTATATTATGTTATTATTTGATCCATTAGAAATACATTATATTATATTATATGATATAATAAAATAATATAATATTATCTTCTTCAACTAGCTCTTGTATATCAAATTTATAGTATTGTCAAAAATTTTATCGAGTTAATATCTTATATCTTATCCTATTTATATGAATTTTTTATTTATATCTTTCATTATCCTATTATGTATGGTGAAGGAGTTTTTAATATTTAATATTTTAATTAAGATGTGAAAATTTAACTTTGAGACATTAGTATTGAAAAAATGTATCAACAAGTCATTAATATCAGTGTTATCTAATCTAATCTTTTTAAATAAAATATTAAGTATAAGTTTTGTAGATAAAAAAAATATACTTGAAAATAGGAAGAAAGTACTTATTACAATTGATCAGTTATGTTTTTTTATTGAAATTAATCATCAATATAAAATTGATAAATATTTTATATTAATAACATTATTATAAAAAATATGCATAGAGAAATGACCTATGGAATTTTACAAAATGTGTAAGGTATATAAGGTTAAAAGAAATTTTAATAAAAAAATATAATATAAAAATAATTATTTTCATCATCATACAAAAGTGTATGATATATTATATTATATAATGCATAATATGTAAATAAGTTATAAATCAACTTTGACTGCACATTAAAAAGGAGTTTCCTACCTAAATAGTCAACTTCATAGTGATTAACCCTAGCTGACTCCAAATGCGATGAAATATGAATCTGTGTACTACAAATTTTCCAACTGGGATTTTTTGAGTCAATAGTGGAGGGTTATTGGTTTAAGTAAAATAGTGGGAACATATTTATTAAAATGACATTGTTAAATATTTTACAAAGCACGATAATTACATATCAAAAAATTTAATGTTTTAGATAATGTTATATGTGTACGCTTAAGAGAACTGTACCTTACCATAATAGCAATAATGGATAAAGTCTATATATCAAATTCAAAGGATCATATTTAAGCTTTTATCAACTTAATCTTGATTTTTTAGTAATTTGAATAAAAAGAGATTGATTGAGAGATTATTAATTTATGTATTACAAACAAGACTAGAAAGTTGTTATTAAAATTTATAGATTAAAATCCTAGAATTGTGACTTTTTCATGATCCCCAAAGATAAAACTCATAAATTAATAAGTATTGTCACTAATTATACTTATCAAATTGTTAACAATCTTATGGTTATTTATCTTAAAAAAAACCAAAATGATAATGAGAGTTTTATTCTAAAAATAAGCATACGCACATATAAACAAATTAAATAATTAACTCAATAAAAATTATGAAAATAGTTTGATCATGCCAATTTTGCAATAATTCAATTATCTTAATGTTTTGTTAATTAAATAAGTTTGATCATGCAACTTTCAATTAATTAAAATAAGAATTAGAAACATTAAAAATAATACGATAATATAACAAGAAAAAATTCATGAATTCATCATTGGGAGTTCTCAAGAAACAATTACATTACAACTCTAAAATAAGAGGACTAGTGACATATGTTACTAGAACCTATTAAAAAAGGAAAAGAATTAACCACAATTGAATGAATCCTTTTATGAGGATTTAACCTTTAACTCCTTACAAAACCTACATAACAAATACAAGAGAAAAGAACTAGAGAAAACTAGATAGCAACGGGAGAATTACAATGTGTTTGAAGATCTCTATTTATAACCAACAAAATCTATGACAGATTTAAACTATTTTTGAGTACATAAAACCTCAAACCCCACTACTAAACCAATCTCAATGGTTCCCAAACCATATGCTTTAGAAGATTATATCATATTTTTGAAAGTACAAAAAGAAAAGCCTTTAAAAATATTAAAATATCATAAACAAAATCACAAATGGTGAGCATTAGACACAAGGGATAGTGGAGAGGGTCGAATTTTGAAGGCCTTGCGACGATTTAGACGCTGAGAAAGGGGTTTTTCCCTTATAACCATGCTTTCAGCAAACTCAGCCTTTGTGCCACCTTTCTTTAACATAGAGTTCCTTATTGCTGTTTTGAGAAGAACGACATTGCCAGCACTCACATTGCTAGAACTGTGGTTTGGTGTTAGTGGCGGTTTCCTTTCACCTTTAGGACTTAAGCTTCTGTGGTTGGAGCACCTAAAGGCCAAGGGATGAATTGAAGGTGAACATATACATGTCTTCACCTCAGGATATGAGTCTTCCATATTTAACTTCTTCATATGTAACTTTAAAAGGTATCTTCTTTGCCTTCTTGTCGTACAATCATTCTTGCAACCATCCATTGTTGTTATACTATATTCTTTTGATCGATATATGTTTGATGATGATAGAGGAAAATTACTCTCTTCAACCACTGTATAGAATGTGAACTATGAATCTGTGATAATGCTTCTTCTTTGCATTTTATATATTTTTATTTGGATAGTGCATCTTGTTATTAGAATTACGCGTTTTACTTTTTTTTGTTTTTTAATATAGATAATGTTCATGCACAACTTCAGGTGCATAAATCCTAATCTCAATCTTTTGGAACTTCTATAAAACAACCATAATCTTTAAGAAACAACCTTAAATCTTTATACTAACAGATAATTTATACGATTAATAAAAGGGTAATCTCATTTGTACAATTTTTTTTGGAATAAAATAATTTATATTGTAATATAATATTGTTGGTATTTATTGATAATGTAATTAAAATATTAAAATTTAATTCATAAATAATTATGATATATAAAAACTGAATTAGAAAAGAAGTTTAAAAAATTTCTCACATAACACAGAAGTTCATGTTTAATAGTAGGGATCGATAATTTATATTGTAGCACACTTTTTTTTTTTTTTTAAATATTGAAATTTAAATCATAATTATTTACGATAAATAAAAATTGAATTAGAGGAGGAGTTAAGAGAGTTCAAAAAAAATCTTTTCATTGAAGAAAAACACTCAAAAACACTCTTGCACAAGATAAAATTCATGTTCTATTAGAGTTTGATTATTTTAAAATTGTGCTTAATATATAAAGATTGATTTTTAAACATATAAATTATGTATTTTTTTTAATGACAACATATAAATCATATTTTAGATTTATGATAAATATATTATATGATAGCATAATCTTATTTTTATTTATTGATAATTTAATTAAAATATTAAAATTTAATTTATAAATAATTATTATACATAAAAATAAAATTAGATAAGAAGTTTAAAAAATTCCTAAAATCTTTCTTGTCAAAGAAAAGCCCTTAAAAACACTTTTATGCAACATAAAGGTTGGTGTTTCATAATAGATGTTCATAATTTATATTGTAACATTATTAATAATTTATTTTAAAATATTAAAATTTAAATCATAAATATTTGTGCTAAAGGAAAAATTGAATTAGAGAATAGGTTAAAAGAATCCTAACAAATCTTTTCATTGAAGAAAACTACCTAAAAATGCTCTTGTGCAATATACAATTCATGTTTTATAGGGTTTGATTATTTTAAAATTATTAAAATATAATTCACAAATAAATATTATTTAATTTAATTTTTACTTAACATAATTATTTATGAATTAAATTTTAATATTTTTAAAATAAATTATCAATAAATAAAAATAATATTATATTATAATATATATTTTTGAAATATAATTTATACATTTAAAAATATATATATATTTATTCAAATTTTAAATATAATTTCTTATATATTCAAACATAATATTTATTTATACATAATTTATTATAAATTTTAATTACATATAATAAATATTTAGTCTGTACAATCTATTTGGATAACAAATTAAAATAATCCTATAAATCCTACTATCAAAAAATATAGTCTTTTAAAATATTGTCACCTAAGATGGTCGTTTGCAAATAATATATAGTGGTTAATATTTTTTAAAAACTTATCATTATTTCAGTAAAAAAATTATCATTATTTATAACTTATTTAAAATTTAAAAGATAAATTATAAATAGTTAAATTTTTATTAGTCAATATAAAAATTTAAATGCCAATATTTTTTTATTTGATCTTATTATCCATTTTAAAAACTACACACAAACACAAACCATACACATGTGTACGGATATTTTAATCAAACACGGTAAAATATATGAATTAAATTAAAATACAGTTTAATGTAAAAAGAAAATGTACTATCATATAAATCATGTAAAATTATACATATAAATTTATTGAATTTATTAATAATCATTTTTAAAATCAGAATCCAGATAGTTTTTAATTAGTTAAAATATAAACATCTTAACACTAGCAAGTTTTTATTTGTATTTTCTAAAAACATATGTATAGCATATTATTTAAATTTTCTAGTTTTTATATAAAAATATTTAAAAGTTATTAATATGATAGACTAGAAATTTTAGCTTCAACCTTAAAGGGTTGTTTGAACAAAATAAGATAAAGTTTACATTAGATAGGTGGTTTGTTGGAGCCTCCACTTATTTATTTCGATAAATGAAAATTATTTTTTAAGGAAGTGTTTGGTATAGAATAATTTTTTTTTATGTATAAAATTATAATTTTTGAAAATTATAAATTTTGAGAATTATGATTTTTAAAAATCATAAAAATTTGTTTGATTGATCATAAATATTTTTAGATATATTTTTAAATGTTACTTGGAAATCAAGAATTTTTATTATATCAATAAGCAAATAAAATTAACATAATATTTTTACTAATGTTTTAAAAGTCAGATGAGTCATTAAATCTATCTACTAGGTAAAAGGTTAAATTGATAAGCCACTAATTGAATTACATGATTCATCTCTATTAAATTCTTTTAAAAATTTATATTATATATATTTAATATTTATAAATTTTAATAAAACCTATATAACATCTTAAAGAATTTCCTAAAAAATTATAATCAATAAAATATTGACAAAATAATCAAATTATAGAGTGATTAAATTACATAAATTAATATATAATTAAATATACAATTTTATATTAAAGCATACTATAAATTATTATTTAAGTTAAATGTAAAACAATAAAAATTTTACTATTAAAAAATTAATTAAAAAAAGCATAGGATAATAGTAAATTAAGTTATCAATTTAAATTATCTATATATATATATATATATATATATATTATATTATGTAAGTTAAATGAATATCAATGGTAGTTAGTTACCTTCTCAGCTACTCAAAACACCTGAATTCATTTCTTATGCCACTCAAAATTGTTGTAATCTTTTTTTTTTTATTTTTTGAAATCCTTTCTAATATGAAAAATTGAAAACAACTTGTACTCAATTAAACAAAGCCTCCATTTAAAATGCATTGGGCAGTGTGTTAGCAATGCTGCAATCAAGGTCGAAAATTTGAAAAATTTAGACGACTTTCAAGATTTTTATCACATTAAAATTTTATTTTTATTTTAAAAGATTAATTTTTTTTACATTTTTTATGGAAATAATCATTCTCTATATATTAAATACGAATTTTTATATTATATGAGAGTATGTTTAAAAAAAAATTTCAACAAGAAAGTTTGTAGGAGTCTTTTTAACTTCTTACCTGATTTAATTTTTATCTCATAATTATTTATTAATTAAATATTAATATTTTAAAATAAAGTATCAATAAATAAAA